TCTCTCTCTCTCTCTCTCTCTCTCTACGAGCACACTTGCCTGAACTACTGGATGGGACAGCAACATGGAGAACAGGCCAAGCTCACCACAACAAGTGCAGAGTCGCCTTACCAGATTCTGCCAAGAGGAAATTTGGTGAAGTTCAACACTCTCATCATATCTATTTGACAGTTCATTGAATTCATGTAATCAACGCCCTCGAGCTCAAGCTTCACAAGTTACCCACTGTAATAGAAACATACCACAGTACCACCTCCTTTTTGAGGCACATTGGTGGGATCAGTAAAAACTTTTACGCCAAATGAAAGAGGAAAAGAAAAAAAGAACAGCACCCCTCCGAACGGAGACCACTACCACTCACAAGTTCTATACAGATGCCTTTTAAACAGCCAACAAGGCATACGTCATGAATGACAACCCCCCTCTTGGAAATGACACTGTCTGTCTGCTTCCGCACAACGACCACCCAGCAAGTCAGTCTGCTCGCAAAGAACTAAACTAAACCTGAAATATTACAAAATTACAATATGCTGAAATGAGAAATGAAACGGAATGAACCCACGACTAACCCACATTTAACCCACGTTTCGAGCAGTCGTAGAAGTTAATTCAAATTCAATGCCTTCACTAAACCATCAGAACTGTGTTTCTGGCACGGTGGGAAAACATTTGCTCCTGCTACCGCTCCCAACCAGCAGACCCCCGGGGGCCCTGATTCGTAGTTCTCAACCCTACCGTCTTCCCCCGAACATAACGCACCCTAAAAATGAATGTCTACAAGCTATATTTCCGGCCAGATACAGCCAAAATAAGGGTGCGTTGTGTTCGGGGAAAGACGGTAGCAGACGTTTCTGACCGTACTTTTTTTTCGCGGACTTTGCAACAAGCACGGCTAAGGCCGAGGACCTGCTTCCGCTGCGGATCCGTTCTTCCAATACACACTCCTGCGCGTTCCCAGCCGTCGATTCTTGCAGATTTCAACCACCGCAGTGACACCCTCTTACCTCGACTCATACTTTTCACCAACTGTGGATTTTTGCCTTAACAGCACGTGGTGAACAACTGACAGTGTAGACTTTGCCCACAAATCCAGTGAGCGGGGGGGGTCTTCGCGCCACAAGCAAGTGCTGACAACGGCGTCGACAGAAGACAGAAGTGAACTAGGAAGTAGGAAGTGGAATAAACGAGGATGCTTCCCAATACAGATACAGACAGATTCGATAGGCAGACCAGGCCTGAGAGTGAACTTACTTCCATACCAAGTCCCCCATGAACCTCAGAGCTGGTACGCCTCTGATTTCCAGATCAAAAAGTGGAGCTTCTGTGATTTGCAATTCCTTCAAGCCAGGATCTGCCTTCACTAAATCCAGCGCACGGAGTTGATCCTTTCTCTTTATGTTACAGAACTTGCAATCGGTCGATGACTTCGGCATAATCTGATTCACAACCAGCCTCTTCACTGGCACTCCCTCTTTTTCCAGCGATTTCAGCAGCCTTGAGCTCTCGCTCACTGCCATAACCGTTGGGATCGTAACAATGACGAACTCCGTAGATTGCTTATCCCTGAAGATCTCCCTCACCATTAGCATGCGGTCCTTCAAAGCCTCCAGCTTCTCAGTCGCTGTGTCTCGTGAGTCATCACCTTGGCCAAACAAGGACTTCACGGCCGTGGTTGCTTGGTTAAGCTTTGCCTTCAGCTTCAGGATCTTCCCGATGGATGCTTCAAGAAAATCTGGGAGTGAGAGTAACCTCAGCGTATGGCCCGTCGGTGCCGTGTCAAAGATGATTCGAGTGAATTTCTCATATTCTGGTGCCTGCACAAACTGAACCACCTTGGATATTGCCACTGCTTCATCAAGACCCGGGGGAGGGGTGTCAAGTAGCTCTCCAAGCTTAAGCTCGCTGAGCTGTTCGATCCAGCTTCCAAGTCCCATGCTATCCATGAAGTCCTTCACACCACTTCCTCCTTCCTTCGAGGTTGAAGCGCGGAACTCCTGCCGTGCTTGCTCAGGATCAATCTCCATCCCATACAGTGGCAAGTCCGTTCCATCCACGACCACTGGTACACCACCGCTCACGTCCTGAGCGAACGAGTCGCTTAAGGAGTGTGCGGGATCCGTCGATACAACCAGTGTAGGATGACCGCTGTTGGCAAATTTCACCGCCAAAGAGGCAGCGAGGCTCGTCTTCCCAACACCACCTTTGCCGCCGATCATATAATACTTCCGCTTTGTGGAGGCTGCCATTTCTTCAAACCCTTCAACCTGCTCCTGGACCGCATGGGCGGAAGACGCCTTCACTCGAAAGTGGATGGCCCGGTGCCACGTGGCGCGTTTGTTCCGCGAGCTCTCCATGCCCTCGCCCATGGACATGGCCGCCGCGCCATACCAGCTGCTGCGCGCCAAGCTTTCCGACAACCGATGCCGCCATGATGAGAGGACGATAAGCGCTGACGGACAACGATGGCGCGCTAATTCGTCACAGGCGAATCGCCTTGAACACGTCGAAAAGGTTGCAGCAGGACACGCGGTCGATGACGATGACGTGGCGTTGTTGCCGTTGTTCCCCTGCGCCGCCACCTGGCCAACGGCGGTGCGTCTACGTCTACCGCTTTTGCACGCGACGCCGCTGTCCGCCAAAACGTCATGCAGCGGCAGCGACGTGTATACCGCCGACATCGCCATGTAGAAGAAGAACAATCGAAAGAAGAGGACAGCCCCCACCCGCCAACACAGGAGAGCTCCACTAATGCTGTGGTTGGGAGGCGAGGGATCGACAAATTGGAGAGAAGTGAGAAACCCCGGTGTTTCTTTTTGGTTTTTTTTTGTCTTTTTCGAAAAACATCAAGGTGGTAGAAGCACCCGCCAGAAAAGAGAAAATTTGTTGCGATCAGAGATTGGTGCACACCAAAGAACCTCGGCCTACCGGTAGGCCCACCCTTACTTCGCCCTGGAATCAAATCCGAGCCAGTACTTGGCCCAGGTATCAAATCCGAGCCTCGGCCTACCGGTAGGCCAAACCTTGCCGAGGCTCGGACTACCGGGCATTCAAATCCCCGAGCTCATCTTGAAAGATTCGAAATCGAAAAGAGGGGCGGGGTGAAAAAGGGATGATTTGCAAAATACCCCCGTAAGTTGGGATATATGCCAACATGCCCTGAGAGATTTGGGTAGAGCGGAATGCCCTCTTGGGCCGAAATCTTTCTGTTATGCCCCTGTCAGGCGGGTGTGCAACTTTGCAATCTGGACCTCGCCCTTTGGGCCTTGGCCTTTTGCAATAGCGCCTAGGAAAAGTTGGCAAGTACTGGGGCATTTTGCAATGTTGGACGGTACCCGGTAGGGGTATATTGCAAAGATGGGGGTCCAACCGACGCCAGGAGTATTTCACAAAATATTTTTTTGTCAGAGGGGCATTCCGCTCTACCCACATCTTTTAGGGGCATTTTGGCATATCTATCAACTTATGGGGGTATTTTGCAAATCATCCCAAAAAGAAACCATTGTTCTTCTAAAAAAGAATAATGAAAAAGAAAAATGGAATAAACGAGGGACTTCACTTTTCGTGAAGCGTGGGTGGGAGGGAGGGGGGGGGGAGAGAGAGAGAGAGAGAGAGAGAGAGAGAGAGAGAGAGAGAGAGAAAGAGACAAAGAGAGAGAGAGAGAGAGAGAGACAGAGAGAGACAGAGAGAGAGAGAGAGAGAGAGATCTCAAAGAGAGAGAGAGAGAGAGAGAGAGATCTCAAAGAGAGAGAGAGAGAGAGAGAGAAAGAGAGAGTCTCTCTCTCTCTGTCTCTCTCTCTCTCTCTTTGTCTCTCTCTCTCTCTCTGAGATCTCTCTTTGTCTCTCTCTCTCTCTCT